TTGACCCAAAAGAAAAAAGTGAAGGATAAAGACAGGCATACCATATCACATAAACTGCAACATAATTTTTTCATAGAATTGGCCTGTACAAGTTCCTCACCACTGCAATATGAGATAGAGACACATGGGCCAAGGTCAGGCTTTGCGATTTCTTGTGGCAACCTAGCAGCAATGTTCAAAACACCACTTCCAGGATCCATGTATTCAGGAAGTGGTAAAGATTGAATGAGTTCAGTATAATGATCTGGGAATTGTTCTTGAAACATATGAGAAGAAAGCCTGCCCTTCAGTTTTAGCTTCTCAACACACATGCTAGATTGTGAAAGCCCCCTTAATGATCCCAAAAATAACTGCTTAATACCAATTTCAACCTGCCACCATACATAAGGCAACACATTTTTTATCACCTCCAAAAATTGCAATTTTATATAACCATGTAATTTAGAAAGCTAACCTCGAACCAGTCCAAGCAACCTGTATCTTTACTTGATTCTTCATTCTCCACTCTGGCCAGACTATTCTTAAGATACGAGCAAAACAAGAATATTGGATCCCAACTTAAAGCAGTAGTCCAAAGAACATTCCGAACTATTACAGGATGGCCTTTACCCCAATGTTTCTGGAAGTGTTCCAGGTTATCACCATGAATGTTCAAGTTAGTGGGGTAAAATAGGAAGTTATCATTTGAATTCTCTCTCCTGGAAGCCTCTTGCAATTGCTTCATGCCTTTGGCTTCATAATCCGTTGAAGGGCATAGGGAGCAACATGAAAAAGTATCAAATGATTCAGGCAATTCATAGCTGCTTACTAATTTCTTCAGCGCTTACTTCCAGTTCTTTGAACCAACATAGCGGCAAAATACATCTCAGATCAAGAAGCCCATCACCACAACCACCAAACTCTTTGGGTGGACATGATATAAGAACACTGCCATCAGGAGCTTTCCGACTAGGCAATGATACAGAAGAATCAATATTCCTACCCCCTGAAGTCTGCCTAGTTATTCTTACGGATTTCCTATCCGAAAGGAAAATGCCAGACAAACAAGTTTTCCTTCTCTTTGGGCATTTGCAGTTGAGTTCTTTGATACTTCCAAATAAATTCCCTTGAAAGATATCCCGACAACAACTTAAGCAAAGACTATACGAACACTTTGGGCAGCTTCTATGGAAATCCAGAATGAAAGTCTTGCAGTTACTGCTGCTCCAGAAGTAATATCGTCACCAAAGGGCAACCAAAACAAATTACATATATTTTATTGAATACATTTTAAGCAACAAAGAGCATACCAACAATATTCCTTATTGCCACCGAATTCAGCAGGTTGGACTTGTATATCACTGAGTTTTTTGCCTATGACACACAAGAAGACAGCAAAACCTCTTCCTCTGAGGAGTATAAAGTGCTTTAATAAGAAAAATTCAAGCATCATTGCAACTACCTTGTATTTTTGCCTCCACATTGATCTCAACACTCTGGCCTTGGTTTATTCTCTTAAAAACAGGAAGAAGCATGCAGATCAAATAATGAAAATCTAACACCTTGTCCACTTTGTTTTTGTCCCTTAGAAATTCCTGAAACAGTGAAACATTTTTTTTTGCAGCTAGGTAAAACATCAAATATTAGTGTGGCAAAATGCAAGCACCAGGTTGAAACATGAAGTGTTTCAGATGATATCAGACCTTACATTCTGTCTCTCTATGTTGATTCACCGAGCAGGCTTTGCAGCGACAAGTTCCACGACACACCGGACAAGCTATCTGAACTTCAACCCGCTTAGAAAAATACCTTTACGCAATTTAACAGAGTAAGACTTGATCAACATCTATGATTTAACTTCAACCAAATGGTTCAAATCTGACATTACACTATATTCAAAACTAAACAGATGAGACAAAGACTAAATACAAAAAACCAGAATGGGAAAGTATTCTCCAAAAACACTAGTTCATGAAGGTCCATATGAGAAACTAGGCGAACTTCTTCTAGAGAGGACAAAACAGGTACTTATGCCTTAAACTTATTGCATGTTGACAAACTACTCATACCCATTAGCATAGGATCTATGTTCTTTGTCAATAAACAAACACACACGGTATATCTACTTTACAATCACAATTCAAACAGAATTGAAAAAAAGTAAAAGATGACTCACTGTTCTTTAATGCAATCCGAACAAAAGAACTGCTCTTTACAACTGGAACACTTGATCAAATTAGAAGCACCACCCTTTCTACACCAATGGCAACTTTTTCTTCTCCCTCTCCTCAAATTTGCCCCATTCTTGTGACATGGCAGAACCTTCATTAAGGGGGGAAATACCCCAAATTCAAAACAGAACCAGGAGAGATCAATTGAAAATAAAAGGCAAACCAAAACCAAATATACCTGCAATGTACCAACAAGTAACGGTTCAATGTTCTTTGACCTAAACCGCCTTCTGGTAATTGCAACAGTATTAGTTTCAGTTTCTCCTACTTTAGCATTAATACAAGAACCTGAAACAGAACCCAAAGCAGAACCGGAACCGGAACATGAACCTGCATTATCGAAATGTGGACTTGTAGAAGAAATAGCCATCAACCCATTAGGCAATCCTCTCATCAAGTCACCTCTTTCTTCATCATCATCATCATCAGAATCACGACGCTCACTTTCTTTCCGTTTCTTCTTATTTTTCTCAGCTTCTCTTTTCAAAACCATTCTTATGAGCTCCAATGGCAAATCCCCTCTTTTCAGCTTCATCTTACGAACAGCTTCGTCTAACGCCTCAGATGCCTCGGGTTCCCCTCCGATCACTAGCTTCCGCTTCATCGGCCTCGCTAATTTTAGCAACTTTGCCCTAATTTCCAGCTTGTTCTTCTCAAAGGCCTTCTTTTTCCTCTTTTTTCTTTGCATTTTCATGGATTCGGACACTTTCTGTTTATTCTGTCGGTGACGGCCCTGGATATGGTGAAGCTCGCACAGCTTTTTCCCTTCCATTACTCGTCGCTTGCACCGCCATTGTCTCCCGTCGGTTCGATCGCACCGGAGATGGTCCGGTATACCACCTTCTTCCTCCATTCCCTCACTTTTTCTGATTTTCCGGAAAAAATAAAATCTTTTCCCGGAAAATAATGGGATTCTCGAGGGAAAAAAATCAGGGAAACGGATTTGGGTCTAGAGTGTAAAAGGGGGAAAGCTGTTATTTTTTTTTTGAAAGGGTTATACGAGTTGGGGGAGTTGAGGGTTTTTGGGATTAGTAGAGTAAAAGAGGGAAAGGGAAAGTTGCAGATACAGAAATTTTGAGGAAATATAAAGTCCTGTTTGGTCCCGGAAACTTTCGAAATGGTGCAATGAGAGCAAGCTGTGATCCGGAGCTTGACAGTTCGAGGCAATCAAGGAGTCGCTCTCTTTGGGTTTTTCCTCAAAAATGGCCTTTTTTGAGGTTTCTTCACTAATCAGCATTTGAGTATTCAACAGTTAATTATAGCAATGGCCAATTGCAGTAGCAGCTTTGGGTAAATGCTCACAGCATTAATGTCTGATATGAAGAGAAAAATGTTCCTGCAGATCTCTTGGTGTATTTGATAGTGTCACATTGAGTCTCGATCGAACATGGATAATCAAAGATCTTCCGTGTAAGACATTGAATTTCTCATCACTCGACTTAACATATATTAGTAATGCGTATAATAAACATTGTATAGTACCATGCAATCAAACTAATTCTATATCAGAATATGAAGCAGAAACCCGTCAGTCATTTGCAGTAGGACAGGAAATCCGATCAGCTTTGTGCTCTTTTGACAGTACCTTCTTTTGCTTAGCAAAATCTCGTTAAAATATGCGTCACTGTGATTCCACATTTCCAATCCTATAGACTTGCTACGGTATCATGGTTTTATACCATGCTGACATAAAGCAATGGTGCTATGTGCATGCAAATTTCTGTGAAACATTGGAAAAACTTATCCGTTTCTCGATATACTCAATATACCAAAGAGAGAAGTGTCTTGGTAGGCATTGCAGGCCCAGTTTTTTCTCTGGTTCCAATGTAACCTGCTCTGCGCTTTTTATGACGAATTATTGGTATTGGGTAGTAGTCATCATTGGAGACTAGTTGGCATCTGTTTTGATGATTTGATTTGGATCAACTAGTTGAGTGCAGTGTATTTGTTATCGCTGCATACAACTATGTTTTTTTTTTCCGTTTCATATCCATGTTTGCTTCGGCTGCAACAAGTTAAATCAACTAGGATCAACATGTACACATGGAATTGCAGAACAGTCTTACATGGAGTTGCGATAACGTTTGACGAAACTGGCTGACTTGGGAACCGCAGTGTCTCTCTTTGACATGTTGGTTCGATCGGGAAACTTTGGGTTGTAATGATTTCTTTCAGAACAGTAACCTGCCTCTATAACTAAACCACCTTAACTCATTTTTATTTTGCAGGAAGCCCAACAAATCCAGAGTTGGCCATCCATGTTTCGTATAAAAATCCAAGCACCTGTGAGGTTTTCCACCCTCGTTCTCCAATACAATGGGTCGGTCGTCAGAGATGGCTTGCTTGATACTAATTTGACTAACCAGTTAATCTATTTTTACTAGAGATGGAATCAAAATCAAATAATGAAAGAGATTAAGTTATCTTATTTCATAATTAACAAGCTGTTTTTCTTAACTTCCTCTGCTTTGGACCACTTGGTCTTATGCTTCCTCGCTATAATTATTCCTTTAATTCAATTGAAATATAGTTTGTTTATATTCTCAAGGATGCTGCTGAGATTTTGATTTTTAATGAATGCGTCAATTAATACTCAGAACACAAAAAGATTCAGACTTGAAGTTGAAGAAGACACTGATAGAGTATAGTCTCTATAGGTATAACTGTCTAAAGATTTCTGTTATGATTCAGTCTTGTTTGTTTAAGTCTTCTTTGTTGACTTTGGGCCTTTGCCTTTATTGTATAAATAGGCCTTGTGTGTCTCCGCCTATTCAAGCTGATTTTAATCAAGATGTTTTGTTCATTGTCTTTTATTTCTTAAATACAATTTTACTTTCTTCTTAACCGTTTCCCTCTTCTCTGTACTTCTCTAATTCTCCTCTTTCCTTTATGTTTCTTTCACTCCGTTACTCGATCTCTGAATCGTAACATGGTATCAAAGCCACTTTTCCGGTGCCTCTATGGTGAGCTGAGCGGTGATAGTTATCATAATAGATGGTTCGATATTGTTGATTGATGGTTTGACCTAATCTCGGTCTTTTCTCTCTGATTTGGTTCTTCTTTGGTGAGATTTGTCTTTTTTTTTTGCCCCTGTGGACGGTTTGCTGTTTCAATTTGTTGAAATCATCTCTGTGTTGTGCTTTCTTATTTTCTAGGGTTTCGTATTTTGTTGAAATCGTCTCTGTTCGTCTTCTCTCTTGCTGCGTTTCTGGATTTGTTGCCTTTCTTCCTTTGTTGCTGCGTTGTGTTTGAGTTCTTCCTGGTGCTTTGTTTGTGCTAGCTGTTGCTTCTTTGTTTTTCTCATCTTGACTCTCATAGATTCTGATCGTGATACTCCTGAGGACAGTAATAGTTATTCAGCTAGTTCGAATCACTCTAGAATTTTCTCTACAAAAAGAATTAATGTTGTGCTTGATGATAATAACTATCTCTTATGGCATCAGCAAGTATTCTTGACTATTAAAACTCACAATGCTTCAGAAGTTTATAGATACTAATGTTTCTCCCACCTCAGTATATCACTGTTGATAATCAGCTGACTGTGAATCCTGCGGTTGAAGCATTTGAGGAACAAGATGTAGCTTTGGCTTCCTGGTTGTTGTCCACTGTAAGTGAAAATGTTCTACCACATCTTATAGGTCTTAACACTGCTGCTGAGATATGTCATACCTTGCATAGATTATATAGTGGTAAGACTACATCTAGATTGATGTATTTCAGAAGATTGTTACACTCACAAAAGAAGGATGATCTTAGCATGAGGGAATTTCTCCTTAGAATTAAGTCTATTTGCGATAACCTTGCCAACTGTGGGGAGGTTATCTCTGAGCATGAGCATGTAATGCAATTCTTAATGGCTTACCTCCTGAATTTGAGTCTGTGATAACTGTTTTGACTGCTGGCTCAGTTCCTACTAGTGTTAGTACTGTAAGCACAATTTTGCTGGATGCAGATGCTAGGCAATCAAATTTCAACAGTCAGATTATTGCTTCTGCTAATACTGTTTCTCATCAGCAGGCTAATAATGTTTCTACTGTTGTGTACATTGTTACTCAAAATAATGAGGTTTTTCCTTATAATAGAGACAACAACAGGGGTAGAGGAAGAGGCAGATCTTCTAGGCCTCAATATCAGCTCTGTGGTAGGATTGGTCATTTAGTTGAGAGGTATTACTTTAGATTTGATAAAAACTTTAAAAATGAGTCATCAAGGACCTCTGCTAGTTCTGATAAGCAAAGCTCCACTATTCAGGCTAACGCTTGTACTTATTTTGTTCCTCCCTCTACTAATTTGTTTTTCACTGTGTACTACTCACCTTCTCCTGTTTTGAATATACCTCAGAATTTTGCTCAAATGGTTCCTCAGATCAGTTCCTATCCAGCCTTGGCTTATCAGTCCGGTGTTTCAGCTACTCTATCTGGGATTTTTCACATGATTCCTCAGTTCACTCCTACTGCTTCTGTGTCTTCTCAGGCCAATAGTCAAGCTCACATTGCCACGCCAGAAATTGTGGATGATAATGCTTGGTACCCTGACTCAGGGGCTACCCATCACCTCACAAATGATTTGGCTAATCTCCAGGTGGACACTACTGCTCCCGCTTCTGGCAGTGTGCAAGTAAGAAATGCTAATCTTCTTCCTGCTAGGTTTTCTGGTCAGTCTAGTCTTCTAGCTTCTTTCAATAATTTTAAGTTAAATAATCTGTTATATGTACCTGGAATTACTAAAAATATGTTGCCTGTTTCCAAGTTTACACAGGATAATTATGTTTCACTAGAGTTTTATCCTCGATTCTGTCAAGCAATGGAGCTCAAGATTGAACAAGTGGTTCTTAGAGGCCTTGAGTCTACTGGTTTATACGGGCTTGAAGGTTTAGATAATGCTTCTGTTGGGAATAAAGCTGCTAATAGAACTTTTTCACATATGAGTTATTTTTTTGCCATTCATAATGATTATTTGGATTTGTGGCATAAAAGGCTTGGCCACCCCTCTTATGAAGTGTTGGTCAAAGCTCTAAAGGATTGTAGTATTGATTTTCCTAGAAATAAAATTAATCAATTGTGTCGGGTGATTTTACGAAAAATCACCCTGACATGAAATAATTACTTCCTAGGTACCGTTTTGTCAAATTTTATTGATCTAACACCTTTTCTGACAAGGTGCAGATCGTCATCCGCGCATTTGTGGGGTTTCATCCGAGTTGGTTTCACGTCATGAAAGGCGTAAATGGTCATTCGCGTCTTATCCGAGTTGGTGCCACATAATGACAGGTGCGAATCGTCATCGTCTTTTTGGGTATCTGACACGCACCAATTTTCAACCCAATTTTCACCCAAATGGGGTCAATTTTCGTTATATTTACCCCATACAATACTATTAAAATCTTCCTTAACTATTTATACTAACATTCCTTCATTTAACCTCTTAGAACATTTAAAATCTTTCAAGAATATTCAATTCTAAGAATCAAACCACTTTTTCTAATATGTTCTTAATCTCATCTAATACTTATAATCTCTCATATACCTCTTTGGCAAGTCAAATCTACCAGTAAAATTCAATAAACACTAATATATTAATATATCATTTCAAAACTCATTTTCTAAAATCTTTAATATTTTTTCATTTCATGGTTTTAATCTCAATTAATCATTCCTTAAGCTTCTATATCACTTAAGGTTGTAAAAACAACCCACAATCAAAAGGGAAAACCGATTAATTGAAACATACCTTTGGAGCTAAGGAGAAGAGCATAACCACATGAAAGAAGAAGAAGATAGATATATAGCTTTTTCCCCTCATTTTCCCCCATTTTCTTTAATTAAATACTTTAATAAAATAATTATTAATTTATTTTCCCTTTAAATGACTAAAATGCCCTCTCTATTCAACTATAGTTACAATCTAGTTTAAAATACTATTTTAATTATTTACTTATCTTTTATCATTTAATCACTTAAATCCTCCATTTCTAAATCTTTTCAATAAAGTTCTTAATTCAATAATTGGGGCATTATAACTCTTCCCCTTAATAAAATTCGTTCTCGAATTTAAAGAAGTACTTGAAACAAAGAGATGTGGAAACTGCTTTATCATATCCTCCTCCCTTTCCCGTGTAGCATCTTCAACCTTATGATTCTGCCAAAACACTTTAACCAACAAAATCCTTTTTCTATGCTATTCCTTGGTTACCTTAGCCAAGATCCTTACTGGTTCTTCCTCATAAGTCAAATATGGTCGGATCACAATTTCCTCAGGAGTGATAACATGCGAGGGGTCTGTTATGTATCTTCTAAGCATCGATGCATGAAAAACATTGTGAATCTTGTCCATGTCCAGAGGTAAAGCTAACTGATAAGCTACGAGTCTAACCCTTTTTAATATTTGATACGGTCCAATGAACCTCGGACTCAGTTTTCCTTTTTACCTAAAACATAATACATTATTTTAAGGCGATACTTTTAAAAATACTTTGTCTCCCTCTTAGTATTCTATTTCTTTTCATTTCAAATATGCATAGGACTTCTGTCGATCTGAGGCTATCTTTAGATTGTTCTGGATAATCTTCATTTTATCCTCCATATCTTTAAATATGGGCCAACCAAATCTCGATCTTTCAATTCAAACCAATTTAATGGTGTTCTGCATTTTCTCCCATATAGACTTCATACTGGGCCATCTTAATACTTGATTGATAATTATTGTTATACATAAATTCTGTTAAAGGTAAATACATTTCCCATGATCCCTTAAATTCAATCACATATACCCTAAACATATCCTCCAATATCTAAATAGCTCGCTCTGGCTGCCCATCTGTCTACGGATGAAAAGCTATACTAAAGTTCAATCGAGTACCCAATGTCTCATGCAAAGACTTCCAAAATCTTGAAGTAAACCTTGGGTTTTGATCGGACACTATCGATATCGGTACTCCGTGCAGTCTAACTATCTCTTTTATATACAGTTCCGCATACTTATCCATTGAGTAGTCTACTCGAATTGGAATAAAATGAGCCGTCTTGGTCAATCTATCTACTATTACCCAAATCGAGTCCTTTTTACTTGGTGATAACGGTAGCCCCGAAACAAAGTCCATTGTGACTTGCTCCCACTTCCACTCAGGAATAGATATAGGTTGCAATAAACCGAATGGCACCTGATGTTCAGCTTTCACTTGCTGACATGTTAAACATTTGGCAACAAACTCTGTGACAGCTCTTTTCATGCCAGGCCACCAGTAACGACTGTTCAAATATTGATACATCTTATTTCCACCCGGGTGCAACGTCAAAGGGCTATAATGTGCTTCACCAAGAATATCTTTCCTCAATTCATCATCATCAGGAATGCAAAGTCTTCCTCGGTAGTATAAATATCCATTATCCCTAATTTCAAAATCTTTGGCTTCTAATTTTTCGACTTGCGCCAATCTCATTACGTATTTCTTATCTCTAACTTGCAGCTCTTTAACCCGATCCAAAAACATTGGCCTTAACTTTAATTTGACAATCAAAGCACAATTTTCTTTTAAATACATACGTGCATCTTAAGCCCTTAAAGCTGCAAAAGTCTTTCGACTGAGCGCATCTGGTACCACATTAGTCTTTCCTGGATGATAGTTAATAACCAATTCATAATCTTTTAAGAGCTCAATCCATCTTCTCTGCCTTAAGTTCAGCTCTTTCTAAGTCAACAAATACTTTAGACTTTTATGGTCCGTGTAACCATGGCAAAGCTCAATGTACAGATAATGGTGCCAGATTTTCAAAGCAAACACTATGGTTGCTAAATCCAAATCATGAGTTAAGTAATTTCTCGCATGATTCTTCAGCTATCTTGAGGCATAGGCCACGACTTTACCCTCTTGCATCAGTACATATCCCAATCCGTTATGGGATTCATCACTGTAAACAACATATACTTTACCTGACTCAGGTTGCACGAGCACTGAAGCCTCAGTTACTATTCTGTAGAACTAAATTTTGATATAACAATTAAGGAAAAATATTTTTGGACTTAAATTGAATTTATTCAAAGTTTTTCAAAGATTTCAAAAATAATTTAAAGTCTATTTAATTTGGAATTGAGCTCAAAAATTTTTATGAATAGTAACTTATTGTATGGATAGTACTGATACTGTATGAATAGTATCGATATCGTGTGAACAGTAGTATCAATACCATGAACAATGTCGATGCTCAAAAATTCCAAAATGTAAAAATGGTACCGATACTGCTACAGTAGTATCGATACCATAAACAGTAGTATTGATATCGTGAACAATAGTATCGATACTATCAAGTCAAATGGTCATAAAATTCAAATATTACAAAGGTAGGATCGATACTCAATGAATGAGTACTGATACTCAATGAATGAGTACTGATACTCAATGAATGAGTACCGATACTACTTGTTCTGGGCAGTTTTATTTTGTAGAAAATTAATCCCCAATGGCTCCAAAACATCCCAAATTGCTATATATGACTTCAAACTTATTTCAAGCTATAAAAATAAGTTGAGAACACTTGAAGAAAATAGAGAACATCTATCCAAGCATTCAAACACAAGAGAAGAATTTTTCATTCTTATTTTATCTCTCTCTTGTAAATATTTTGTTCTTGTGAGCTTAAATCTTGTAAACACCTATCTTAGAGAGGTTTTCTTGTTTATATTTCCTTTCCTTGTAAAGGGGTTTTGGTTCTAGATGAGCCTGTTAAAAGCTAGGATTGGTTTTATCTTAGCCAAGTGAAAAGATAGGGAAAGGTTTCAGCTGAGCTCGTGAAAAGTTAGGGAGTTGTAAAGGTTACTCTTGATCATGTAAAAAGAAAGAACAAATTAATGGATTTGTTAGAAAATCCTTGGTGAGGAGCTAAGGTAGTGGATGTAGACTTGGTTGAGAAGTCAAACCACTATAAATCGTTGTGCAAATTTTCTATCTTTCAATCTGCTTACTCCCTAAACACAAGAACCGATTCCACCCCTCTTGGTTTCAAACAATTGGTTTCAAAGCTTGACTCGTTAGAAGTTTAACAACCTTGAGACGATCCTAGAAGACGTTCTACCAATTCACGACACAACCGAGATGATGACTTCCACATCCGGTTCGTTCCACATGAAAAACTCCCTACCGATCGACAATCCTCTATACTTAAATGGAGCAAACTACTTTCTTTAGAAGAATTTAATGAAGCTATTCATACAATCCAATGATCTTGATGTATAGGAGATAATCGAGAACAACTACTCTTCTCCAAAGAAGAAGTGGAGTGACCAAAACGAAGAAAGCTCAACTTAACGCCAAGGCCATGCACATGGTGTTTTGTGCATTTGGTCCCGATATCTATGAAAGAGTTTCTTCATGTTCGAATGCCAAGGAGCTTTGGAATAAGCTCGAGGAAATCCATGAAAACATGAAATAACCAACAAAGGTGGTGTCCTTAATGGCTCGTGAAGAGCCCGAGGTATCTTCTAACTCAAATGAATTAAATTTTTATTCTTTTAATGAGTAAGATGCATACGATGAATTATTTTCGGAGTTTGAGACCATGAACTCCAAATATAAGAAAATGATTTCAAAATTTAAAATTGAAAATGATTTTCTTTTGAAAGCTAAAATGGATTTTGAAAACCAAAATGAAATTTTGAAAAATGATTTAGAGCTTTTAAAAAATGAAAATTGAAAGTTTTGAAAAAGAAAATTTTAATTTGAAAGTTAAGTTTGAATGCTTACCAAAAGAAAATGACACTATTTTAAATAATTCATCTAGTTCCATAATGACAAAATGCTTACATTATCATTTTCATGGTCACAAGGAATGTACTTGTCCTTTGAAGAAAGGAAAACGTTTTAAAATTAGACAAGCATGGGTTTCAAAAGGAACAATGGGCATTGAAACTAACGTCCAATGATCTAAAGCAATTTGGATACTAAAATCGAATTGAATGTCTCTTGTAGGTGTGTGGGAGCAATGGTGATGAAAGTGAAGATATTCAAATGCTCTAGCCACACTTGAAAAAGGAATGGGTAACCTCTAAGCTTGATGCTTTTAATTTTGATTATTTAGTTATTCATTTTGTTTAAGCATTCATGAGTGTTGAT